TTCCTGACATGATGCACCACCCTCCCAAGAAGCCCAAAGCACTGGGCTAATCTTGACTTGCATCTCCAAAACTTTAAGTCAAAATAAACCTTTTCTTCCTAAGTAACTGCCTCAGGTATTTTGTCATAGTAACACAAAGCTGCCTAATACATCACCCATCTAGAAACTTCTATCGGCAGGCAACAATAAAAAGTTATCTATCTCATTATTAGTTCTGAAACATTCATGAGTTTGCATAAATAACGTGCTTTATGTTGGAACAGAATATAATGTATAACTTTTAAAATCCCATTTGTTTGTAAATATAAAACCATGATACACCAGAAAAAAATTTCCTTTTCATGTATTAATAAAACTATGTAATGCAATTCAAAATTTTCAGTATATTTAAACATTTGAACAAACAAAGGAAGATAAATACCACACAAAAGAATAAAACATGGATTTGACTGAAGGATTAAAAAAACTTTAATGAGACACAAGTGCTTCAAAGTATACTAGAAAAGTTAGAAACATTAAAGTTAGAACTTAAAAGTTAGAGGAATGATTTTGTTTTGTTTTGTTTTTTGGTGGTACTAGGGCTTGAACTCATGGCCTCACGCTGGCTAGGCAGGCACTCCACCACTTGAGCCACTCCACCACAGTCCTTAAAATTAGAACTCAGAAGTTAGAAACAACAAAATAAGATAAAAATGTAAATGCTAAAGTCTTTCCTATCACAGAGACTATTCACTGAGGTCATACCAATAACATACTAATATACTCTACTCCTCTCTGAAGGTGTTTCTCCACTTTGCTTTCAAATTATTCTTTGGTTTAAGTTGTCATCACACTTCCACCCACACCATGTCTTTCCCCAAACACAGGGAAAGTGAGGTTACAATGGTCAGTGTATTCGGTTACTTCCTATTTCTCCTCTTTATTTGTAGGATAAACAAGTTTCTAGAGCTCTTTTCAATTAGAAAAAGGAAATGAAAGTCTGGGACACTAACTTTGGGTCTACTGATTTGAAACATATCAGAAGCGTCTTAAAAATGGGAACTTCTGCCCTGCTCCTGCAAGTTTGTGGTATCACAATATACTTAGAGAAAGGAGAAACACAGAGGGTCCTCTCCTTTTTGCTTGTTTGCAGTACTAGGGATTGAACCCAGGGCCTACATCATACTAAGCAAGTACTCTATTAGCTGAGCTACAACACCCACCCCAGCCTTTTTCTTTGTAATTTATTTTTAAGATAGGGGCTTGGCAACTTTGCCCAGGCTGGCCTCGAGCTTGAAATCCTTCTGCCTCTGACTCTCTAGTAGCTGGGATTAAAGATATGACCCATAACACCCAGCTGAGGAGCCTCTTTTTGAATAAGTAATTACTCTGAGGGCTAATTACTAAAATCTTGTCAGTAAAACATACTGAGAATTCAAAATGCTTGGACCAGACATATTTTGGATTTCAGTTTTTGGAAAATTTGAATGTATATAGTAAGATACTATGGGGGAGGGACCTAATTTAGCTTCATATACACCTTATACACATAACCTGAAGGCAATTTTTATACACTATGTTTACTGTGCCTGTGTTCTGACTGCAATTCTTCACATGAAGTCAGGGATGGAATTTTCCATTCATGTTGTCATGTCAGTGTTCAAAAAGTTTTGGATGTTGGATCATTTCAGTCTTTGGATTTTCAGATTAGGAATGCTCAACCTGTATTAATTCTAGTCTCTCCATTTCCAATATATCATCCTACTGGTTGGATAAATGAAAATGTACACCATCTTAATTTGAATGAATAGCAGCACAGTATTAGGAAATTGTCAATAATTAAAACTATATAAATGCACTAAATAGTAGCCCTATATAAATATATAAATGCACAAATCTCTACATTCTAAATGTCTAAGATTAAAATGATATTTATGAAAAACAAGGCCTCTTCACATTTCATATTCTTAAAAGAAAAAAAGTCTTTTAAAAAATTAAGTTTATTTGATGCATAGTTTGTAAGAACTTTTCAAAAAGTGCTTACTAGGGCTGGCATAATGGCTCAAGTGGTAGAGTGCCTGCCTAGCAAGCCCGAGGCCCTGAATGCAAGATGCAGTAGTGCAAAAAAACAAAAAAAGAGCTTCCTCTTGTAATAAAAAGAGCTTACTAAAACCACCTACCAGATTGTATATCTGTAGATTTAAGATTAAATTAAATTCCAAACAACTGATGTAACTAAACTGACTATGCTGGTATTATTAGCAAGACAATGCTGTTGCACTGTGCAGAAAAACAATTTGTTAAAAAGACCCTGCACAGAAAGCGATAAACAGAGCTGCTACATACAAAACCACCAAGAAAGAAAAAAAAGGCGGGACACACACACACACACACACACACCCCATATACATCCACAGCAGTTAATGGTTCAACTGCAACTAAGTATCTGGTAAAATAGCTCTACTCTACCTCTATCTCCAAATTAATCTAAATTAAGCAATTTTGTTTTCTATATGTAAGTGCCAATGTGTATTATAATATAAATTATCACTGATGACTTAACTAAAATTCTAATGATATGTAAGTTAAGATATTTCAGAATTTTAAATTTATGTTACAGGTAAGTTCACAAACATCAAAATATTCATTCAATGTTCATTTCCAATCACCAGTAATCAGAAAGTCTGTAAGAGGTGCACAGCTGATCCTCTATATGTGTGGGTCCTCTACATAGATGGGTAACAGTAAGAAAAACAACTGTTGTCTGTAATGAGTATGTACAAATTTTTATTCCTCATACTTCCCTAGACAATACATCTATTTACATAGCATTTACACTGTATTAAGTTCTACAAGCATAGAGATGATTTAAAGTATATGATATGCAAAGTTATATTTAAATACTCCATCATTTTATATAAGAGACTCGAGTATCTGCAGATTTTGATATCTGAACCAATCCCCTATGGATATCTGGAGTCAACCGTACATTGCTAAAACTGGATGTTACCAGACGCACAAAGTGAAAGTCTTAGTTTCAGAATACGGTATTTAGACACAGTCTGTTGTTAAAACTGTCATCTGCTATAATCTAAGTAAGAAATTGGAAATTATTTGAAAATCTACAGACTGTTTACACAAAACTGTCCAAAATATTGTCGTTTAGGTACTAAGCCAGTAAGTCAAATATTACAGAACTAGATAACACCACATAGGACAAACTGAACTGCATGAGCACTGGATTTACTGCATCAGTATCCTTGACTTTAGAAACTTAAGGTGTGAAGATATTTTCCAAACTTTTAAAATTAACTTCTTCAAAAATCTAAAAACCTGAAGAGATTGCACAAACCCACAATCCTCAAAGTAGTTCGAATTATCTGGATCCTCCTAATATAACCAAATAATTTAGGTTACCACCTTCCATAAACAAGATCCTACCAATATCACTCAAGTGGTATCAACTTTGAATGATTTTCTAGACACATAAATTATGTTAACCTATTTAGAAAAAGATGCTAAATGTCAAACCTTCTTTCCTCCTTCTGCAGCTTCTGACAAAATAATTACCAAACTATTTACTTTCTTGCCAAAAGTAACTACCTAGGAAATGTGAAGATAAAGTAGCACTCCTCAATCCCCAGGACCTAAGTCTTTATTTCTGCCAGGAAATATGTGAGACCAAACACAATCATAAGGAAGACCCCCTTTGGTCTATAGATCTGGAATGCGTAAAGAGGAAGACTGAAATCTAAAACCATGTGCCTGCACGGTTCCAAACGCGAATATGACGCGAGGCTTCCCTTGCCTGGATCAACTAGTTCAAGTTGACTTGCCCGCTTAGACAAACACCAAAATCCTAACTAGTGCAAGAAACAAGGTCTGAGCGCTGAGAGTTACTGCAGAGGGAAGAGTGGGATGCTCACGCGGAGCTCTAAATCCCAGCATTAACCCAAGTAAGGATGGAGGACCGATAACTCAGGCAGCCCGTTACCGGCCCGGATCCACGTCTCTTTCCGAGATATCCACACCAATTCCCCAAGCGCTTACCTCCTCCCCAAGCTCCCTTAAGTGCAGACTGGAGACGTCACCGCCGCCTCCGCTCCGAGGAGCGGGGGAGGCGACTCTCTGTCCCCGCGCCTGGCCCCGGGAGGACGACGAGGAGAAGGAGGTGCACGCGCGGCTCCCGGGAACCGGCCCTCGGCTAGCGAGCGGATCCCGGGGCGGATGAGAAGCGGAACTCGCCCTCCGGTTCGCCAGGATCAAGCGAGACCCGGACGTAGAAAGAAACAACCAAGAGACTAGCGCGTAAGAAAAGGCAAGGAAAACTCTACCAGGCCGCTAGGAGGAACGCGTCGAAATGCCGCCGGAAGTTAGGGGTTTGCCCTGTTCCTCTATAGACGCAGGCAGCTTCCGGCGCCGGATTAGTCGTCAGCGCGCAGGCGCCTTTTCTTCGGGGACACGCCCCCTGGGCGTGACGTCGGCCGAGTAGGCGGGGCCAGAGCGTTCGGGGCCGCAGAAATCTTTAAACTGCGCTGTGAGGAAATTGGGAGCTGGGGAGACCTAAATTCCCAATTATTGTAAATTTAAGAGCAATACTTTCCCCCTTTTATTGCACAATTTCCCACAATAAACAAATGCCACGTTAAGCAAAATGCTACATTTATTGTTGAAAGTTAACTACAGCCATTCAACAGCTGCATGGTTTGGGGCGGTGTTTGTCCTGTGCCTGACATCTTCCCCTTTCTTGACTTTCGTCCTAATATTACTGTAGAGCAAACGGAATACACGGGTATGTTTTCAAAGGCTCAAGCAGAAATTTATTGAAAATTTGTGGAATAGAAATCTCTAATGTACTCCAGACCATTCCTTTTGTTGCTTAGAATCCAATGATCTGCATGAAACTAGTTATTAAAATTGCTTGAGATAGCTAGTCAAACATGAGAAATCAAGAAAAAAAAATAAGCACCTAGCCTCTTACAATTAAAAAAAAAGTAGACATACACATGAAACCTTCATTTCAAAATGGCATGTATCTTGTTCTTTGATAAAAACCAAGGAATAGGAAAACCCTTTACCAAAACTACTGACCAAACTTTAAAAGAAGAAACTGCTAACAACAATTTGGTCTCGCTGGAATTAACAATATGAGAGCAGAGTGAAAAAATCAAGGGCGTTAAACATTCCTGATGACGTGCGAAGCTATTTCAAAGACAGCCGCAAGAGCTTCTGTACACGTGGGTTTAATGTAACGCTCCGGCAGCAAGAATCCGTATTTGCCTTTATCTCGAAGTTCAATGGTAAATGAATATTTGACGCCCAAATCATAGATCCAGTCATCAGAACCTCCAGGAGCCAGGTCTAAAAGAAGAAGAAAGGAATTATATTTTGAAATACAGGTATTTCAAATTAACAAAATGGAATTTTTTTTTCAAAAGTGAAAATAACTGCTTTCTTCTGATTGTTAAGTAACTGGAATTTCTTGCCCAAGAATTTTGGCGATTGAAAGGAAAACAGTATAAGGAAAGAAACAAAAATTACTTATAACTTTACCATAATCCTACCAAGGAGTGACAAGTACCAGTAACGTTTTAGTGCATTTTTTTCAGTGCATGAATTTGCTTAATCTTTTTACTACATAAATAAAATCACATTATACGTGCTGTTTTGTAGTAATTCTAAACATAACCATTGTAACATTTCCAAATGTAGTGTTACTGAGTTTGAATCTATATCATTTGCAGTGATCTCATAGCATTGTGTTGTAAAGCTACATATAATTGATTTATAAATATTTATTTACTTGGGTACTCTTATTGTCTCCCCCAATTTTTTTTTCAGTTTTACTGTGACATCTTTATTTTTTTTCTTTTATTCATATATGCATACAATATTTGGGTCATTTCTCCCTCCTTTCCGCCCTCCCACCTTCCCCCCTCTCTACCAGGCAGAAATTATTTTGCCCTTATCTCTAGTTTTGTTGAAGAGAGAGTATAAGCAATAATAGGAAGGAACAAGGGTTTTTGCTAGTTGAGATAAGGATAGCTATACAGGGAGTTGACTCTCATTGCTTTCCTGTGCATGTGTGTTACCTTCTAAATTAATCCTTCTCAAACTAACATTTTCTCTAGTTCCTGGTCCCCTTCTCCTATTGGCCTCTGTCACTTTAAAGTATCTGCATTAGTTTCTCTGTTGAGGGCAACAAATGCTATCTAGTTTTTTAGGTGTCTTACCTATCCTCACACCTCCCTAGTGTGCTGTCGCTTTATCATGTGATCAAAGTCCAATCCCCTTGTTGTGTTTGCCCTTGATCAAATGTCTTCATATGAGGGAGAACATACGATTTTTGGTCTTTTGGTCTCCCCAAATTTTTAACTAATATAAATAACTTTTCCAGGGAGCACCCTTGTTTATAAATAATTGCTTGTTATTTTAGAATGAGCATCCTAATTTATAAATAATTGCTTGTTGGTTTCTTTAGAATATTCTCTATAGAAGTAGATGTGCTGGTCTAAGAGTGTGTGCTTTTCAGTTATAACATGTCCTTCAATAGACTTCAAAAGAATTGAACCAGTTTATACTTCTCTAGAGGTATGAATATGCCCACTCCTCCTCATGGACCACCAAAGGGAATTAGGCATTCTGACAATTTTTTGCGTGAAAGCTTATATCCAATTGTCTTATATGTTTCTTTATTATCAGTGGCTTGCATGTTTTGTTTGATATTTTTGTTGCCCATTTTTATATTTTCTATCAATCATTCTTGCTCTTTATGAGATACCAGATCTCATATATATATATGTATATACATAGAATAAATACAAATAATAAATATAAATGGAAATATATGAAAATACAATTTATATGATAAACACAAATGCAATTATATAGAATATATACAAATAGTAAAGCATATATAATAATATAAAAGAATATTTGTATATCTTTTTTTGAGACAGGGTCTTGCTGTGTAGCCCAGACCGGTTTCCAACTTACCATCCTCCTGCCTCAGCCTCCTGAATGCTAGGATTACAAGCATGCAGCACCGTGCCTAGCCTTACTATTCCCTTCTTTTGATCTGTCTCATCCAGGCTCAAGTCTACATTGTCCTAATTACCATAGGTTTATAATGTGCTTTAATACCTCATTGGGTTGAGAAAGGTCTCTTATTAGTCTTATTTTCAGTATTTTGCAAGCTCTTTATCAAATTTATTGTTTCAAATGAACTTCAGAATCATTTGAGTATTCATTGGGATTGCATTAAATATGCAAATTAATTTATATATTGCCCTCCTACCCAAGAACATGTAGGCTTCTCCTTTTGTCTATTAGGAGATTTTTCTAGGTTTTTTCATGCAGGTCCTATATGATTTATCATGTATCTGTGTACATCCAGACACATATACACTTAACAGTGAATTCATGTGTATATATCTGTAAGTATGTATATGTATGTATGCAGGTATATATAATGTATTTTTAATAAAGGAGCTATGAGATCTTTTTCCTATTTTATTTCCCATCTGATATTGTATATCTAGATCATCTATATCTATATCTATATATATACATGAAGTTCTAGATTTGTGTATATTTATTTCACAGTTGACCACCTTAACACTTTATTACTAATATGTTTTGGTTGATTTTTCTATAATTTTCCAGGTAAAAAAATTACATAACATGCAAAGTATGACAATTTTTGCTTACAAGGTTGTTTACTAAGGTGATGTTTTTATTGAAAAATATCCATCAGCAATGGATTAAATTATTCACTCATTCAGCAAATATTTCTGATGGCTCTGATCAGCACCTGGCATTTCTTCCTCTAGCCTTTCTCCTGGGCTTGCACATATATGTAATACATGTATGCAGATGTGTCCTGGAAGAATGCAGCTGCAGAGACTGACTGCTTTCATCCTAACAGGAGGATGCTCTGTAAACTCCTCCAGCCCAGAGGCACTGCAGTTAATGCTCTGGGGATAATAACAGAGAAGAAGATGGGAACCATTAGAGCTCCTAATTGTGAAGGCAAGTTGTGGATTTCTTTGTAACATGATGAGGACCTGCATCAGCAAAGGAAGCAGTGGACCAGTGACACCATGGGACAGAGATACCATGCAGTCTAATTTAGTGACAATTTGGGGTGGTTGAGGAGAAAGGAAAAGGGAGGTTGTGGACTTCCTGCTATTGGACATCAGTGCTCAGCAATTTGACTATTTTTATATCCATGGAGGCCATACTTATTAAAGAAAACTCTGGGACTTAAAATAAATTGTCTCACAGCCTTTCCCAGTGCCTTGATACAGTACATTACACCTTTATTTGGCAACTGCTTACCAAGTGGCTTTCCCAGAAATGTCACCAACACAGAAAAGACCTTCTAGGGCCACCTTAGCTACAGAGCTTCTCTCAACTATAGTCACTCTCAAACCTATAATTCTATTTTGTTTTCTTCAGAGCACTTGATGAAGTTATACTGTATTTTACCACTTGTTTTTATCAGGACTTGGTACACTTTTTCTGAAAAGGACAGGATAGTGAGTATTTTAGATTTCATCTCTAATACAATTACTCAGCTGTGCTGTCATGAAAGTCATCATACATAATATGCAAATGAATTAGTATGCCTGTATTCCAATAAAACTTTACTTAGGGAAACAAATATGCCTATGAGTTTCATATAATTTTTATGTGTCAAAGTTTTAATTCATTTTTTCAACCATTTTTTAGGTGGTATTGGGGTTTGAACTCAGGACTTCTCACTTGCAAAGTAGGTGCTCTACTTCTTAAGCCACACCTCCAATCTGCTTTGCTCTGGTTATTTTGGAGATAGGGTCTCTTGAACTATTTGTCCGGGCTGGTCTGACCTGAGAGCCTCCTGACCTCAGCCTCCTAAATAACAAAGATTACAGGTGTGAGCTACTGGCACCCAGCATTTTTCACCCATTTAAAAAGTGGGATTCCAACAAGTGGATTGGACTTTGATCATATGATAAAGTGAGAACACAAAAGGAAGGTATGAGGATAGGTAAAACACCCAAAAAACTAGATAGCATTTGTTGCCCTCAACTCAGAGAAACTAAAGCAGATACTTTAAAGCAACTGAGGCCAATAGTAGAAGGGAACCAGGAACTAGAGAAAAGGCTAGTTCGAGAAGAATTAACTTAGAAGGTAACACACGTGCACAAGAAAGCAATGAGAGTCAACTCCCTGTATAGCTATCCCTATCTCAACTATTACTATTGGCCCTTCCTATTACTGCTTATACTCTCTCTTCAACAAAACTAGAGATAAGGGCAAAATAATTTCTACCTGGTAGCGAGGGATTAGGGGTGGTAAGGGAGGGGGATGTTAAGGGAGGGGGCAGGGGAAGGGGGGAGAAATGACCCAAACATTGTATGCACATATGAATATGATAAAAAAAGAGAAAAAGACCAAAAAAAAACCAAAAACTGTTCAATTTAAAAAAAAAAAAGTGGGATTCCATTCTTAGCTCAAAGGCTATGTAAAAGCAAGCAGTGAGCTGTATTTGGCCTTCAGGGTATGGTTTGCTGACATCTATTTATATGTTTATTTTCTGTTCCTCTGATTCCATCTACATTCCAGCTTCGAAAGTAAAATCATTGCCTATCATCCCACTGGGATACATAGGAGTCCCTTAATAAGTATCCTCAAGCAGAAATTCATAAAAAAAATTTGTTGAGCTTGCCACATATGCGTCTCATCAGTGTGATACACACAAATGACATTTAACTGTAGTGTTTTGTGAGCTATATTCTAGAAAACAGGGCATCACTAAAAAGCATCTAAGATAAATGACACCCCCAAGATTTGCGTGGTACACAGCATCCACGGCCACATGCCCTGGCCATGAGCATCTTGCACACTCTTTTGATCCTTTATGACTTTTTTCTTTACAATTCTGTAATCCCTGAACTATCATGATAAGTGTAATTTCTTAAATATCACCTTGATTTCTTTTTAATGTATTCCTTCATTAATACAGCTTTTTTTTTTTCTTTTTTTTGGCAGTACTGGGGCTTGAGCACAGGGCCTCGTGCTTGCTCGGTAAGCACTCTACCACTTAACCCACTTTGCCAGCTGTTTTGTGCTGGGTGCTTTCGAGATAGGGTCTAGTGGACTATTTGCCTAGGCAGGCCTGTGATCTTCCTGATCTGTGTCTCCTGAGTAGCTAGGATTATAGGTGTGAGCCATCGCCGCCTAGCAATACAGCCTTTTTCAATAGCCACAGTCATTATGCTTTTGTTTCTAATGGTTATAATTCAATTGTTTTACATGTGACTCTCTTTAAAAATAATTTGGAAAAATTAAATCTACACAGAAAATACAGATTTCTTTAGTACCCCCATGGTTTTTCAATACCAAGAACCAATATGGGACTGGGGATATAGCTCAGTGTTAGAGAACTCACCTAACATGCAAAAGGCTCTGGCTTGAATCCTAGCACCAAAGAGAAAGGAAAAGGGAGAAGGAATACTTACATAAAGTCTCTGAGCCGCTGCCATGTGTATACCTGGTATTTTTATTAATGCTCTCAATAGCACGAACTGCTTCACTGGCCACTAGAGACTAGAAACAATAGCATATGGAATTTGGTTAATGTGCGGCTTTGAAACAGAAGAGATAGAAGTTTCTAGAAACACAATTAAATGAACTGCATCAAAATGCATGTGTGAAAAATCTGAAATTCATCCAAAAAGTAAGTTACGAAGGAGAATACATTAACTAAAATGATGTTTTTCATTTTAGGGCAATCAGAGCTGGGTTGCTTTAAGTGTGAATTCTTCCAATACATTGACATTTTTATTTAAGATGTATAAAAATTCTCACAGGGATTTTCAGGAATTCATTTACTATGTAAAATGAAATATAGCTATATTTAAGAGGCTTGGAATTATTCCATTCCTAGACAAAATTATCAACAAACTTTAGATTCAACTTCTCTAAACATACACTGCATGCATGATTCACTTCCTGTCCTTCTCAACAAGCTGTGGGGGTGGGGGGGGATGGGAGGTGGGTGTGTTACAGGACTCGAGCATGCTAGGCTCTACCTCTGAGCCACACCTAAAATCTGTTTTCTTCTTGTGTAAAATGTCTAATGACTTCCAAAGACACATTAAATAAAAGATCATGCCCTAGGTATGGAGCAGGATAATAACTAAGTTCCCTGTTTGACTATATGTCAAACCGACCTACAGCCCTTTTCTGACGTTCCACTTAACCCAGATCTTCCCTGAAACCAGAACTGGCAACATAGTTTTCACTCTCACCCTCCTGAAAAACCCAGAGGAATACTCTGGATATTATGTTGTGCCATTCCTTTGTTCAAAAATTACATTTTAACAGAACCCCACTGTCTAAGTAATAAAATACAAAAGTATTCTGACATTCAAAATGCCATTCCCAGCTGACCTCATCTACTTCCGGAGATGTCACCCTCCAATCATGTACCCTCATGGTCCCCTGAGCATTCTTCCTGTGGGAAATGTCATCTCCTTTGCACAGAAGGTCCTCCCTTCCCTATAGAAATCTTTTGATGTCTGACTGAAATGGCATCTGCTCCTTGATGTCAACAGCACTTCACATCATTCTTCCTTTACAGCACATTAACCTTAATGAACTATAAGTTCCTCCATGATGGGGTTCACCTGATCCCATTACTTATCTTAGCGTGTCCCTCTGACTGAGTTGGAGGCCACCCCATTCCAGTTAGCAATGAGTTCTTCCATTTGTGCCACTTATTTTGGAGGGACCATGAGTCACTTGAGTCCAGCTCTTTGTGATACTTGCTTATGGCACAGCTCCTAATCATATAGAATTATCCTAAAAGATAGGGACTTAGCTGTTGCTTCTTTCAATGTCTATTGGATAGTATTTTACACAAAATGACTCTGAACAAGCACTTGTGCTGATAGCAATTAAAAAATAAGACAAAATTAGATTCATTCTGCTTCTAAATCATGATAAATACACTTTTGTTGCTTCAAAGATAATACCAATGAAGATTTCCTTTTCTTCTTTGGGAAGAAAAAAAAGAGTTGTGTTTACAACTCGTGTGTTCATGTAAATGGGGTGTTTTCAGAAAATGAAAATAATACTTTATTTGTCACCAATAATTGCTAGCCCCTCTAATGTGGCTATATGTTTTTATGTTAAGGGAGCTGAAAAAAAAATCTAGATAGAGATCAGACCATGCCAAAGCCAAAAATGCTTCCATTGTCTGGAAATCATCTGGGATGAAGATTTGAGTAAGCCTAGTTACAATCTATCAGGAGCCCTTTACCATCAACCCAGACACAGCATCTGGGACCAAAGAGTTGTGAGCGAGTATCAGATTATGTGGGTCCTCTTTGAACTTCCTGTATTGCCCACCACATTTCCAAAAAAAAAAAAGGCTCAGCTCAATATAGACATTATAGATTGTTTAACATCACCAAACCCTTGGGGTTAGGGTTAGAGAGGACAGTGCATACACAGTGCCCACTGCTGACACTACAATGACAGTACAGTGCCAGGACTCAATCTGTGGTATTCTGTCATAAAAGCCTAGTGATCACTGTGAAGTCCTATAATTTCATAGACTCCTATCCTTGCCTATATGGCTTCATAGGCAGATCAGGTCGGGTGGAATTGCTCCCTCCTGATCTTCAGGGAGTTTGACATTTTCTTAAGTAAGCTACCTGCTGAGATTATTGCTCATATCTTCAGGATCCCTTTGTGATCCCTGCAACCAAGGTGACTCCTGACAGTTAGACCATGATGTAAAGCATCTATCCATTTGTCTTGTAAAGGGGAATTCCCACCCCCCCCCCATGGTTTTTGATTCTTCCACTAAGTGCTATTTCTGAAATGCTAAGAAAAAATAATTAAGTAGCACTTACCAGTTCCTCATGGTCTTTGCTTTTGCTTCTGTTATAAGAATATGGAAACAGTATATGCTGGGAGTATGAATGCATGCTGATGTATGCTTTAATGTGGTTGATATTTCTTCTCAAGAAATCAGCCACTGCCTTCACTTCTGGCTCGGACTCAGGATAAAGCCCACAGTAGGTTTCAGAGCATGAAAAACTTGATGCGCCTTTCTCTGTGGTTAAATTGATAAAGTGGGATATAATGAAACACACATAGTACTGTAAATTATGATTTCCTGACCATGGTCCCCTAATATCTATGCTACAGTATATTTAGATAAATGGATGAGGGAGAGCTCTTTATGAAACATATTTCTGATGTCCAGTAAATGTTTGTGTTTCTTCTGAAGTTAAATATTTATACAATACATAGCAGACTTTCTAATGGTCATCCCAGACCCTGTCTTCCCATGTTGCCTGGGGGCAGCCATCTTGCAACCTTGAGAAAGCAGTCAGAAGAGTCCCAGAGATGCCAGCCCTGCTTCCCAATTTCTGGTTATATGAGGACCAGTAATCACATTTCCTTTAATTACTATAAATTTCTTTTGATATTTGCAGTTTAAAAATTACTAATCAGAATCAGTAGACTCCATAAAAGAAAGACCTCCCTCAGGAACTTAGACTAGACAAGTCTACCTCTAGCATTACTTTTAACTTGCTAGTGCTGATTCGTAAATAAAATGGGTTGGTGATGTTTTTGCCAAAATAATGTTGATTTATTCACTTGAGAGATTATAGTACACATCCCTTAGCCTGCCTCGCAGTGTTTCTTTCTTTGTCCCTAATTCACAGGGGTAGAGCCCCAGAAAGCCACATCTAGCCATGTGTACCTATTTTCAAAAATACGGATGATATAAGTTCATTGCTCAATTTAGCTTTGTTTTGTAGCTGTTTATTAAATGTGGGATTTTGAAATATAATGTTGGGGGTGAGGAGGAGAAAAGGTGAACACCTACATCTCTGACAGCAGACTGTCTTCAAGTGCCAAATCAATATTCACTGAGTACCATAAGTATTCAAATCAAAGAAATTGCCACTGAGCTTACTTTTATATTATTTTTTACATTTTTGTTATTTTTTAATATTTACTTATGTTTTTTAGGAAATAAACAACCTGTTAAGAAAGTGAATCGTGAAAACAAAAGAAAAACATTTTCAAACACTACAAAAGTACAGATTTATCTGTACAAGTAGTCCTCCTTTAGCCAGGTCTTTGATATGCTAATGATGAACATTATTTATTTATTAAAGCCAGACCCTTGACAGTCACTTCTTTATTCTTCTAACATAATAGAAATTTTTAATTTTGAAGTTAGAAGGGACTTTTAAGAACTAGTCCAACCTTCTACTTTAAAAGATGAGAAAACAAGCAGGACACCAGTGACTCACACTTGTAATCGCAGCTTCCCAGGGAGGCTGAGATTAGGAGGTTTGCAATTTGAAGCCAGCCAGCACCAAAAAGTTTGTGAGAACAATGGAGGGAAGTTTAAAATAGAAGAATAGAGGTCCAGGCTTTCCTGAGCAAAAAACGAGACCAAAAATAGCCAGAGCAAAAAGGGCTGGAGTCTTGGCTCAAGCAATAGAGAACCTGTCTAGCAAGAGTGAAGCCCTAAATTCAACTCCCAGTACTGTTGAAATAAATAAATAAATAAATGATTTTTAAGATGAGCAATCAGCAGGGAGGAAAGATTAAAGCAATTTGCTGACTCAATGTTTACGGCATTACATTTATCTCAGCAATTTATTATTTAGGTTAGTCCCTACTTTAGAGAGAGGCTCCCCGATAAGTAGTTTTAATTCATGGGCTTTTCTCACTGTCTAATGAAGAGACTTTGCTAGAAATCAAGCAAAGAACCTACCACACCAGTGTTTGGAAGCAAAGTTCCTGTTCAGGTCTGTTCCAATGCACAGATTGTTTTTGTGGAGAGAACGGTTCTTTCTCCACATTCGGTTCTAAATAAACAAAACAAGAACAGATAACCAGGGTGGCCATGTTTGTAGCTCCAAGAAAGACATGAACTTAACGCCCAAGAGGCCAGGATTGGGTTTCTCTCCTTTAACGCCAACCCCTTCCATTGCGTCATCCCTTTCACATGCCCCATTTCCATCCAGGCCCCACTTATGTCTACTCAAATTATTTATGAGCCAAACAAAATGGTAGTGTTTGGTGAATGTTGATCTATACAAATAACAAATCACAGTTGGTTCCACTAGACTAATTATTAGCCTTCTTGTTTAGTTTTTCTCTAAATTAATTTCATGTACAGAATCATTTTGAACTCCTTCAAAAGAAAAGCAAAATAGATTTGTGTCTAAATTCAAAATTATGAGGCATGAGTTTTAAAGCTTTTTTTGTGTTGTGTTTATTTTTTAAAGAGCCTATTTTTTTTTGAGATACATTCTGAAATATTTATTAATGAAATGATGATATGGTGTCTGGGATTTGCTTCAAAATAACATGGGCAAGTTAGAAGTGATTGGAGGGTTTAAATGAAGAAGTCTAGTCCTGAGTTGTGTTACAGTTTGGATCTTAAATGTCCCCCCAAAAGCTGATGTATAAAGGCTTGGTAGCTGGTGCTATGGTTGTCAGTGGGATCTCTAGGAGGCAAGACCTAGAGAAAGGAAGAGATGTCATTTTTGGGAATACCCTGAGGGCATTGGGGGATTTTGGGACCCTGGCCCCTCCCTCTCTCTCACTCTGCATCCCAGCCATGAGGTGAGCAGCTTTGCTCCACTGCCATATTCCTACCATGGTGTTCTGCCCCACCATTGGCTCAAAAACAATAGAGCCATTTGGCCATTGACTGAAACCTCTGAAACCATGAGGCCAAATAAATCTGTCCTTCTCGTAAGTTTTTTATCTCAGGTATTTTGTCACACTGACAGAAAGCTAATTAACACAAGTTGATTATAGTTTAGACTGTGTGATGGGTACATAGGAGATTACAATGATATCCACTTTTATGTATGTTTGAAAATTTTCATAATAGACATTCAATTTTTAATAAGACCTTGTGCCAAGATCTAGATTCTATGAGTATTCAACCTCACTATCTTGTAACCCCCACAAGGTCTTATTTTGTTTTCTTTGCTTTCACCTACCTTTTTCCATGTGTAGTCGTAACCATCCACATTAGCCACTGGCATGACATAGAAATCCATGTGCTCCAGAAGATTAACGTGCATCTTCTCTTTCCCATAGAATTGAGTCACCTACAAATTAAGCCAAGTATGTTCAGTAACATCTCATTTTAAGTCTCTTCTGAACTTAGTCTGGTATATTTAAATGTATTTTTTCTTTCTTAAATCATTTGGCATATTTCAATGTGCAGATATAGCTTTCAGGAACAGTATTAATTTCTTAAAAGGACTGAATTTAAGGCACTCTGCTACCAAGAGGAAGTGAATGCCTTACACATGGCACAAATAGTCTCCCCATTTAATTAAGGCAGAAAATTGAACCACATATTCTAAACTTTCCTTCAAAAAACAAAAATATTTCTTTGTTAGAGCCATAAGACTACAAAGATTTAAGAAAACAAAAACTTACACATCAGTCTCTTTTTCAATAATCTGCATTAATCAGAGTTTAAACTGAATTTGTCTTATCCCTTGATCTCATTAGATGGTATTTCTACATTGTCCTTGGAATTATTGTGAAGCTTAATTTTTTGCCAGAATTGAGTGTGTTCCCAGCATCTAGCCATCTGGAAGGCAGCTATGCTCACCGCTATACCATTCATGCACTCTCCATCTAGTTATATAAAAATCTGTGGAGGTTTTTTCCAGGCATTTGCTCTGAGTTTCTAATACACATCATCTGAAATTGGTTCCTCTCTGCATTAGCTTATACTCGATGGAGGGTCACATGATCCAAGAGTCCCCACATCAGTCACCCCAAAGTGACCAATATGCAGGCAGGAGAACCACAAAGACAAGTCCTGCCTGAATAAATCATTTCCCCTAGCACTAAGCTTTGGTTTAAATTTTTCATTTGTGGCAACAGTGATACATTTAATTGTGGATTAATTTATAATTGTTGCATTAAGCTTTGCTCCTAAGTTATTTGTAAACAATGGTTTTCATTAGGGACAAAAGAAAAATATCTTTTAAACCCTATCTGACCTATAACCAAAATTTCACCATTTCTCTCTAAATATTTAAAATACTGTATCCATATTTTCCTATAACAATAGCAATAGTCATATTAAAATTCTTTTCATGGATTATCATTTATAAAACATGAGAGAAATGAAAGAAAAAGTACAAGATGGTTTTTGGGTTTTTTTTTAAAGTCTACTATAAGCCAGAAGCAAAACATTAATGAAAAGAAGCAAAACTTATAGAATGAGAAAAACCATCTTTTCATAGTTGAACAACAGTTAAATATATTTTTATGATACAAATTTGAAAATTTATTTTGGTGTCATTTTCAATAAGAATGCAGCATTTATACTTAGAATATCAGGAGAGCCTATTACTCGCAAAATTATAAAATATGTCATTTTAATCGTTTTGCTTTGTTTTGTTTGCTTTTTGAGACAGGATTTCACTATCCAGTCCAGGCTGGCCTAGAACTCCCTATGTACCCAGGCTTGCTCAAAGTTACGATCCTCCTGCGGAACCCCACTTTCATGTGTGGCCTCATTTGCAATCCCAAGGAACATAGTGGCTATTTTTCTTTAACAGCTTTATTGAGATGTGATTGACATACTGAGGTAGGATAGATCAGAGAAAATGAGGCATGAGGAACAGGAGCCAGGACTTCATAAACTGTATTAATGAAGAGCTTGATTAAAAGCACACAGGCAGTATCTTCTTAAACTTTACACTCCTCACTACCCTGCAGCATATACTTAAAAAAAAAAAAGTAGCAACTCTCTCCTTTTGACCTTGAATGCTTGCCCAAATGATGATCACACTCTGGGAACTGAGCAAGAATATCTTTTTTTTTTTTTGGTAGCATTGGGGTTTGAACTCAGAGCCTCACACTTGCTAGGCGGGTGCTCTACCACTTGAGCCACTCCACCAGCCCAGGAATATCTTAAAGACACTTACCCTGGGGAAAAACATTTGGTAAAATGACTCCTTTGTGCAACAAAATGTTTGCAAAGAAGGAAAACAGTATCTTAAGGAAGGACACCTGTCTTAAAGTGAGTATCTGACAAAATACATCCTTTTTTAAAAGGGATGCTCAGACATGTATGTCACAATGACCCAAATTTAGTAAACCGACCACACTTGGTATGTCCAGGCCCAACTGGTAATGTCAAAAACATTGAAAAATTAATTGAATAATTAATTGAATAAACCATGTGTCCAAACAAAGGGGAACACTCATCCTAAGGTGAATTTAAGCCATACCCCCAACTCACTTTTTCACCATAAGTACCCTTGATGTTAGAGCACTCAGGACACCTGCCAACAGATGTGCCCCACTCATGTCTCAGTTGTGTACTATCCTTTGCTTTCCTTTGCTTTATTTACTAAAGAACTTTCTTGGTCTCTATCTCAATGCATCCTAAAATCCTTTCTTGTAACAGCATCATGAACTCAGAACAAAAGAACCAAGTTGAGGTCTCCTTCCTTTTGGACATCTTCCTGCAGCCTCACTGGTTGCAGTAACTGTACCAGAAAATTCAGTTTTTAAAGTATGAAATTTGGTGGTTTTCAGTACACTTATGAAGTTGTGCCATTATCACCACAATCTCATTTCAGAACATTTTCATCACCTTCTCCCAAGCCTCCATGACCATAAGGAGTCACTCCACATTCACCTCTGCCCCACAACCCCCAGCCTCTGTCTGTCTTTCTGTCTCTATGGATTTGCCTATTCTAGACATTCATAGAAATAGAATCATAAAATGTGTAGCTTTTCGTGCATGGTTTCTTCCACTTAATATAATGTTTCCAAGATTCATCTGTGCTGTAGCATGAATCAGTATTTTATTCCTTTTCAATGCTAAAGGATATTTCATTGTGTAGATACACAATTTTGTTTGTCTACTTATAAATTGATAGACTTTCCCCAATATTTGACAACTATGAATAATGTCACTATAAGTGTTTGTAAACTTATGTCTATGTTCAATTGCCTTGGGTATATAACTAGGAGCAGAATTTCTGGATCATATGGTAACTCTACATATAACCTTCTGAGGAACTTCCAAATTATTCTCCAAAGTGGTTGTACCATTTTATAATCACAATGGCAATGAATAAGCATTCCAATGTTCCACATCTTATTATTATATAATCACTTATTATTGTCTGTATTTTTATTTTAGCCATCCTGGTGGGTTTGAAGTGGTATTTCATTTGGCTTTGATTTGCATTTTCCTAATGAACAACGATATTGAGCATATTTCCATGCACCATTTCAATGGCCATTTGTGTATCTTCTTTGAAAAACAGTCTTTTCAGGTCCTTTGCCCATTTTAAATTGGGTTATCTACCTTTTTATTGCTAATTTGGAAGAGTTCTTTTTATATTTTGAATGCCTTTTATCGTATATTTAATTAGTTAAAAAAATTCTCCCATTCTGGGTGCAGTCTTATTTTCTTAATGGTGTCCTTTGAAAAACACAAAAGTTTTTAATTTCTGTGAAGTTTCAATAACTCATTATCTCTTTTTTTCTTTGTTGGCTTGTGTCTGGGGTCATATCTAATAAGTTATTATTTACCCAAGGTGATAATGATTAATTATTCCTCATCCATGCAAACATTTTAAAAGCTAAACATTTTATTTTTTTTCCTTCTCTAGTGGTTTTAACCATTATGAGAGTCAGCTGAGGCAGGCCAGTATGGAAATTCTTAAATGTCCATAGAACAGAACTTAGTGATTACATTGACTTGGGCCACAAAAATCTGCCTTACAGTGTTGGGGCAAAATACTCTACTATAAGATCCTTGAACTGTATTTTCTTCCCCATTGTATTTCCAGGATCTAAGAGGCAACTTATAAATATTTGTGGAATAAGTAATTTAATCTTAGGAACAGTCAGCAAGGGGATAGGGTAGAGGGTAAGATATATAACAGGAGGGAAAGGGTATGAGGTGCAGAAGGACAGCCATTAGGAACAGTATGAGTTATTGGAGTTTCTGGACCTTTTCAGACTCAGTGATAGGTGAAAAATAAGTGTTCTTTTTGTCTTGCTTGCACATTGCACTCTCCACTAACGGTGGCTCCCTTCATTAACACTACCCAGCTTGGGTAGTCTTCAAGATTATCATAGGCCGGTGGCTGTGCAAGGGTCTGGTCAATTGGAACCAATTTCATTTGGTCAGGGTGGTACCAATAGTGGTTGGAAACTTTTCAGTGGGCTCAGTGACACTGCAGCTGCCATTGGTGGGAAGGAAGGTGGAAAGGCAAGCGAAGGTGGGTAAGGATATTGCATTTGTCAAAAGCCAGTGGAGGCAGGGATAGTTTTACTACTTATGTACTTCATTTGATAAGAGGAATCTGAATGCCAAGTTCTTAATTTCCTAGCTCATTTATGTTGTATTATTGTTTATCTGGACTGTGATAACCATTATCTGAAGGACCCATTTCTTGAGTTACTTTTCCAGTGGCATGACTATATAAATCAGTATAGATGACATGTTTCCCATTTTATAGGAGTTGAAGCAGATTTGTACTGTTTTCATTCATTATGGAGGTTTATAGTCATTCTATTTTTTTATTATTATGGCACACTATTTGTCTTACAAATGGCTTTTTTGATGTCAATCCCTGTTTCAGGGACAAAGCCCTTTATTAAGACATATGGAAAAGCATTATCTTCTCTGTAAGGGTACACTTCATTTTCAGTGCCCAAGGGCAGAATGTGGCAAAAGATGTCTAGCTGATGCAAATAATAATAATAATAACAATAATAATAATAATAAACACATTAGGACCAAGCTTAGGTAATTGCCTCAGACATTTCTGCTATGTAGTAAATATATTATAATCAGCATACTATTTCTTAATTGCCTTCCTGTGTGAACATTGTAGCTTCCCAAGCCTCTCTTCCAGATCTTGAGTCAAGAATCTATTTTAATTGTAGTCCAGTTGATTTTGATGTCGATGATCTCAGCTCTCATCTTGAGAACTGGTCTAGCGGAATGTGAATACTTACATAACCTATGAACCACAAGCAGAAAGCAGGAGAGATCCATTCTCTGGCATGGATTCCACAGTCAATCCACATGGCATTTTTGCCTGCTTGTTCTTTTCCAGAAACCTGCTCAAAGAAAGTCCAAAAGTACCAACACAAAATGTCTCAGGATAACTTTTATCTATATGGCACCTACATTTAATCCTTTTGATAAATCCACATTATACACATCGTTCTCTGTATTCCTTTGAGAATTCTCAAAGGAAATTTCTATGCTGGTGAGAATAGAGACACTAGTTTAGGTTACAATGCTGGTGTGAGTTGGGACTGAGGCCTGGGCTCTTGACTTAAAGCTCTTTTTATCTAACTACCCTCCCCCTCAACACCACCATTAATTACCTAGCCAGAGAGCTCTATACACACCTCAGTTAGAGGTAAATGGTTGGTTGCATGCTGGGTGGGCAGCCTTCCACAGGAAGAGAGGAGACACATCGGGCACAGAAATTCCCTCACCATTTTCCCCAGAATGAACATTCTTCATATGCACACTATTTCCCTACTTCACACAAAAGGAAAAATACAGTCAGGCTCTGGTGCCTCATGCCTGGATTCCTAACTACTTGGGAGACTGAGACAGGGAGGATAGAGGTTTGAGGCCAGTCCAAGCAAATAGTTTGTGAGAACCCATCTCCAAAATAGCCAGAGCAAAATGGACTGAAGATATGGATCAAGCAGTAGAGTGCCTGCTTTGAGTTCAAACCCCAGCCTTACCCCCAACCCCCCAAAAAAAGATGAACACAAACAGATGCCATCAGATTAAGGGACAGAGGCTTTGTTCTGATTCACAGTATAGCAGGCCAGTTTAAGGTGCTAACTCTTTGGAATAGGAATTCTTAGCCTTTTTTCAATCATGGCTTTTGATGTCTTTAGATGAATTCTCAGGAATACCTCCAAATTGATCATAATTTATTTGATTTTAAAAATTAGGTACAACACAATTTTAGGATATGGAGGGAAGGGAGAAATATGTAGAGTTGCCATTTACACCACTCTCAGAGTTTTTTTCCCACTAATCTGGAGCTAGCAACAAGAAAGTAAGGAAGAAAGTCAAATGGCTAATGGTCAAATTGATTGCCAAAGAGACCTAGATAATTCAATCTGCTTAATGTCAAGAAAATCCTGTCTTCTAGATTAGGTGTTTGACATGATCTTTTTAACTGCCAGCTTGGACATTGGCAATATGGAGGAATCCCAGAAACTCACATTATGTTTATCCTTGGTGAAGCAAGACTAGGACTTAAAGCGTCCAGAATGCGTGGTTTCCCAATATGTACATTCAGGTTTCAGACACACAAGTTCTAAGAAGTATGTACTTACCTATCCTTCCATTGGGTTGATTGTTCACTGCTTAAGCTTACACTGAGCCAGGAGCTGGTGGCTCACACCTGTAATCCTAGCTACTCAGGAGACAGATCTGGAGGATCATGGTTCAAAGCCAGCCTGGGCAAATAGTTTGTGAGACTCTATCTTGAAAAAAACCATCACAAAAAGGGACTGGTGGAGTTGCTCAAGCCATAATAGTGCCTGCCTAGCAAGCATGAGGCCCTAAGTTCAAACCCCAGTGCTGCTAAAAACAAAAAAAAGTTTACACTGATGTTTGTCCAATAAGATCTTTCTCTCTCTCTCTCTCTCTCTCTCTCTCTCTCTCTCTCTCTCACTAAGTCAATCAATCTGAGGTGGTAGTGGTGTAAATAAAACAAGGACTTGAAAAATAATTCAGATCACGTCCTTCATTTTATGAATGTGCTTGCTGAGGTACATGCAAAGTTAAATAGCTTATGTAACATCACACAAACACAGACAGAGCTGAGTTTAGAATTGAGACAGTGTCTTGTTATGTAACCCAGGCTGGCCTCAACCTCCTTAAACTCTAAATCCTGCCTTAGCCTCCCAAGTGCTGGGATTACAGAAGTGTACCACCATACCTGGCTAGAATTGGGGTTTCTACTCCTACTTATCCCTTCATTATTAAAGGAAAAATCCATAATCAGCTGGATAACAGTTGGAGAATTAACTATTCCCTCCCTTTCAAATTGAAAGCTCAGTGACATACCTTTAAAACATAAAGTGGGTTCTTCTCATATGAGGAGCCGATGTGGATTTTTTTAAGCATACCAGGATATCTCTCAGTTATAACGTCTATCCAAGAATAGATCTATCCAAAGGGAGAGTGGAGGTTAGTCACAGGGCAAGTTCAAAGGATTTCCTTGACCAAAGAAAGCAGACAACTCCCTCAAAGAAAGATTATTCCCCTAAAACCTTTCTTTGTTCAAACCCCAGTGCTGAACAAAGATGAAACAAAGAACTAAAACACTTGGCATAGGGTGTTTCTTCTGCTGTTCAGGAAAATTAATAAAATTAAAATTCTGGAAAGTACCAAGGTTAAGAAAAAAGAAGAAAGTGGGGAAAAACTAAGAAACATAACAAAGAAAGAAAGGTTGTTCTTTAACGTATGATCCCTGAAAGTTATTTTTATTTTGTTAAGTAAATATTTCTTGTGGCACTGGGAAGTGAACCCAGAGCCGTCTACGTACTAGGCAAATGCTCTACCATTGAGCTATATCACCAGCATTTGGTTTTTTGAGACAGGGTCTCACTATACAGCTCAGGCTGGCCTGGGACGCATGATTGTTCTGCCTCCACCTCCCAAGTAAAAATCTGTACACACATAACGAGATTGGTGGAATGACATGAGGGCAATCTGGAAAACCAAACTCTACCCTGAGAAATAGTTTCATTCTGGATCTCTCTTCTGAGTAGAAGTCCAGCAGAATTTGAGGCACTATCAAGATGAAAAAAAGGTAAATTCTGGGACTGACTTTGTTAGCACCCTCTTCAAAGCAGGCAGTGAACCTGGTTTGGGATAGCTGGGATTGAACTTGATCTTGTTTTAAGGTAGACCAGTAGTTAAACTCTGAAATCTTCTGAAATGGGGAAAAATTAGCACTTGGTTTTATCTCTGGGAACATTCCTGGAGATGGTTTTAGACAGCAGCCCTAGCTAATGCGAACAGAAGCACCACTGACCCTGGGTTCCCTTAGAACAGAGTAACTAGCGTGAGTGGCACATGTGAGTGGTTGTCCAGGCTGAGGATGAAGAGACTCCTGGAAGGTCCACCTGCCACCTGTCAGTGTCTGGTGTGTCAGAAACTTAACCACCAGGGATGTCTTCACTGGAATTCCACTTATGTTAGTCACCAAGGTATGAAAACGTCCGAAAAAACTACTACATGATTTTTTTTTTATTATAACTTTGATGATCTATCAGATTTCCTCCAGCAGGGGAGGCTGTGTTGTATGAAGACAGCTTTATTGACTGATTTACCTCATTTCACAATCTAAACTGGGATAATGAAGGGAACATCTTTCATTTCTCTTGAAAAGTCTTTTTGGTCATTTTTTTCTCACTCATGGATCACTTAAGATTTCTTGATGTGAGTTAGTGACAAAAGGACCCTCCTGCTCACAGGCCATCTTGTAGGGATGGCATGGAGAGATTACCATCAGATGAAGGAAGAATTTAGAGGAATTTCCTGAGCTCAAGATCTCCATGATCCCCAGGAATCTTTTAGAAAGGATGAGGAGTGGAGTGTGGGGAGGGGAGAAGTCCAAAATAACTTCCAGAATATGAGGGTGATGGATTGAATTATGTCTCTACAAATTCATATGCTGAAGCCCTATTCCTCAGTACCTTGGAATGTGACTGTTATTTGGAGATAGGTAATTAAACTAAAATGAGGTACTTAGGATGGCCACTAAAATCCTTATTTCCTGGCATCCTTACAAGAAGAGGAAATTGGTATTGATGGAGGCACCAGGAATGTAAATACATAGAGAAAAGTCCACCTAAGGACACAGGGAGGAAGCCGCCATCTACAAACCAAGTAGAGAGGCCTCAGAAGCAACCAAACCTGGCAATATCTTGATCTTGGACTTCTAGCTTCTAGAACTGTAGGCAAATAAATTTCTACTGTTTAAACTACACTACATGGTCTGTGGTATTTTGTTAGGGACTCTCTAACAAATGAATACATTTATATTCTTAAGTTTTCTTACTATGTCATTCCAATTCTTTCTTGGGGATATGATAAGAAAACAACTTTTTTAAACGTAACATTAAAATATATTTTGAAAAATATTCAAAAATACTTTTAAGAAATTCCCCTTTCCCTATCAAACAACATCACATGATATATTCATCTCTGCATTTTGCAAATCACACTTTTGTAGCCTCTCTGCAGCAAGTTTGTTACACGTTGCCAGTGATGGATGCTGGAGGGAAGTGGCCCTGTACAGAACAGATATAAGGTAGGAGAGACAAAGGAGCAAGGTACAATTTTAAGGCCTCCATCAATCAGCTAGGCACACAGATTCCAGAGGCAGACTGAGTTCTGATTTCACAGAGTGAAAACCAGATACTCTTAAACACTAAATTTAAAATCAGTTCTCATTACCTAAGTCTTAGATGTCTTAAAAATATGAAGGTGGTCCCTAAGAGAGTCTAGGCACCAAGTCAAAGATAATAAAAATTTTAAAGCCTGTATTAGCAGCATACTCCTAGAAAAGAACAAAATTCATCAAGTTGTTTTAATTACTTGGAGAATACTGTAGTACAGAGAAAAGTCCTGAGGAATTTACCCTTCAACAAACAAATATGGGGAAATGACTCTTCACTTATTTATTTATTTATTTATTATTACTCATGTATTTACATGTTCATACATTGTTTGGGTCATCTGAGGGAAATGACTTTTCATGTGCCATGAGAAATCTTATTGAGGAAACTTAACACTAGCAACATGCTCAGATCCCCTCTAGAAAACCTGGAACTTTCTAATACTAATAGAAAAAAATCCAATTTCTTAAGGATTTAATAACAATAACAGACATTATTATTACTATTATTATTATTACTGTGTTAGTTTAAAAGTTTCCTCCTCAAGGGAATAAAATGCATTAACTTATAGTACATTAGATAAAAGTGAATATAGTGTTTTAACTCAGTGGTGAGGTCATCTGGAGATCATTCAGTAAGAGTAAAATTGAAGTAATGGTCCAAAGAGACAGAATTGATTGAACTGATGATTTTTTTTTGTAGCAGTTTTAATTAAATTGTCCTATTCCTTATTTTCTGTTCTCTACTATGCAGTACTATTTCTAGAAGCTGAAGTACTCACAACTTGGGCAAGCATCCTGTCTAGAGGCCATTTGCCAAATGTGGCATAACCTTCCCAGGTATGATATCTACATCAGGATGAATCACCATCCTATTAACAACCTAAGTCTGATTGTTTTTTACTCATAAATGGGGTCATTTACCCCATTAATGATCCTTTGATAATTTTTCATGGTTGAAATGGCAATGCTGGTTAAATGAAAAGAGTAACTTTGAAGAGCAGGGTGCAACTTACTTCATTTAGTGAGTGATACTGTTCATAGTATGACGAGGAGGCCCGAGGACTGACTGTGTCATTGGAAGTCTGCTGTCGAATAAGATCTTCCACATCTCCCATCAGGACACTAGGTGAGGAAACAGAGCCCAAAAGGCCCAGTCCAGGTACAGCCAGTGAGAATGAGGAAAAATCACTCATAGAGCTAATGAGTGGTTTGCCAGGGTAAAACACCACCACTGCACCCTGTGAGAAGCTGAACTCACAAACCCTTCCAGCAGAGCCGAGTGGGCACTAGAAAGAAGGAATGGTTTCAGGACTGCCAGACCTCACCCTTCCCCACCCATTTCTTCATCGTGATTCTTCAGTGTGCTTTACATGAACACAGAGTTTGAGGGATACCCTGCTTCAATTCTGAGCAATAGCTCATTATTCCGTATCCAGAGTTAAGGATCCAGGAGAAGCAGAAAACCTTTTCACCTTGCTTTTCATTGACTTACACCAGGTGTTCTGAGGAATGAAGGATAATCAAATCGCTTGAGAAATAGAAGTACAGGAAAAAAAAGAAGACACAGGACAGTCATCTTTCTTAGTCTATTAACTAGGTGTGTACTTTCATTGAATTAAGACATCAGCATCACCTGGATGAACAATAGAAAATAAGCTATTACATTAACAATAGTTTCTCAATTTAGGTCAATGGAAAACAGCCAAGTCTTTGATATCAGAAAGATTTGAACTTGACTTCTAGCTTTACCATGCTTCAGCTGGTTGATGGTGAGAAATTTCTTTATAATGTAAGATTTTTTTTTTCATCTGCCTATTAAAGACAGTATCTACCTTACAGGGTTCAATAAGTGTAGATTGCCCCAGAAGTTCCTGGAAAACAGTATACACCTATAGTATACTAATAATTATTATTCCAGCTTATTATTCAGAGGCTGCCCATTGGTTTATAGAAGAGAGGACAGTTTCAACAAGGGTGCAAGGGGAGCAGGAGGGTACTGGTAGTTAGACAGTGGGTAGGAAGAGGAGATGGTGGCCAGGAGAAGCCAAAAGAAAGAGGGTGTGGACTCTGAACAGAAATCACGCCTGATACACTTTTTAAAAACTTGTAAAATCATTTATTCTGTATGGTAGGTGCTATTTTATCTTTAATTTATAAAATGGAGACACAGAGAGATAAATAGTCCCTACAAGGCCACACAGGTAGAAAAGTGGCAATGCAGGACTCCATCCTAGGCTCTCTGCAGAGTCACAGCACCTAGCATCCTTTTAGTTTTGGAGCAGGTCTTCAGAATGTTCACTGACTTTGTGAAGAAAGAATCAGCAAGAGCTAAATCCCCCTCAATGGTAGCCTTTTCAAGGGACAGTGCAAAGTCTACCGTGAAGAGTGAGAATTTCTTCCCTTATCTGAGTATATAGTAGTCACAGAAAGAGGAATAATGAGAGACTGCAGATCGCTGAGTCTAACCTGCGTTTCAGATAAAGAACTGAAGTTAGAGGTTAACCCACTTGTCACAGAGCTGAGTATGTCACCAGTCCATTGCAGAGACTTCCATGTAGCCATGTTTAATATTATTTATTTTTCCAGGAAGCAATTATGCCACTTCCTAATCAATGCATATCATAAAAGATATTCAACAAACATAGCTAATGATGCCTACCTGAATGGAATTCTGCTCACATTTAAGTGGTCTTTCACATTGCTTACATCAGATGCATTCACAAAAAAATGGACTTCTTTCTTCTTTTCAATAAATTCAGCTGTTACTGGCTGCCAGAGAACAATCTACAATTTCAAGGGGAAAATTTGATAAAATAAAAACACAGTCGTTTCCTTCGTTCTCATCTATAGCTAAAGGCATAAAATTCATGTCTACAAAATGGACATGAAGAGGACACTTCTTGGTTACAGATCCCCATCATATATGAGGTAATAAAAACATTCATTTTGCAGGGAGTTATTTTAAAATTCTGTGTAACTCTTGTTGCTAAAGAGGGCCTGGACCACACAGGATAATAAATATTTGATGAGACAATGAATATGTCTAGGACTCAACTATAAAACTAGATTGTGTATGTTAGATGGTTAAAAGAAATATGAAATTTTGTCTAGAAACTAGTTGATTAAACACTGATTTTATTTAGTAAAATTTCATGTGCTTGGTATTATCAACTCAGCATTCCTTTTCTTTAATATAATTATAGCCTTTGGACAATACTTTTCAATAATACTTACATTTTTCCATTTTTATGGTACTTTTCCAAAGCACTTGCACACTGTTCCTGTGATCATTATAATAGCACTTTGATATTAACCAGGAAGATATTGTTATTTTCATTGTTCAGATGAAGAATTAAGCTATTTTGTCTAAAATCATCCACCAACTAGCACAACAAGAAATAAAATTCTAAATCTCTGATGCTTCTTCTAGTGGTATTTCCTCTTTATCCTGATGAGGTGGCTTTGAAAGTCCACCATTTAGCTCTTCTGCTAACAGGAGCACAGGTGACTGGTGTATCCAGTGATTGCCTCTGGTGATACATGGAAGGTTGAGGCCATGTTGGCCAGGGCTGCAGCCAGCACTGATTAAGCTGTGTTCATGTAGGTTCAGTCCTCCTGGTATGGGGCTCTCATCACAAGTGATTTGGCTAAAAGACCCACCACTGCCCAAGCCCAGACTTTGTTGGAAATGCAGTCTGAGATCCTTCATGCAAGATCCTCCTTCCTGCAGAATGTCACACTGTATTATGCTCCCAAGGTGACCCCGCCACCTCCAGCCCCCTCCTTTTTATCCCTAGCAAATATTCTCCTTATTGCTTATACCTCTCATCTAGTCTGACCTCTGTTTCTCAGAGGACAATAAGAGCCATCAATTTTCTACCATGATTTTTCTGACTCTTGTCAAGTTTTTACACCTTAGACATTTTGGGATGATGGTCCCAGGCATGAAAATTTTAATAAATGCTCCCTGTGGATTTGGTGCTTTAATTCTTAACAGTGGTTGAGAATCACTGTTTTTTAAGCACAATGTTATTGAACTTTGTTACTGGAGCAGCTTCATAAGAATATATTTTTGACCTCTAGGTACTATTATGAAATTGACTGAAAAGTCAACAGCACAAACCCACCAAAGTCATGTGATTATGGAAAGGAGGAAGATCCTATGATAAAGGAGCCATTCATACCAGATCCATATAAGTCACACAGAACATGGGAGAGACATGGCATACCTTGCTCATGCAAAACAAAACCAAAATAGCCGGGCTTTGGTGGCTCACACCTAAAATCCTAGCTACTCAGGAGGCAGACATCAGAAGGATCATGGTTCAAAGCCAGTCCAGGCAACTAGTTCTTGAGATCCTACCTTGAAAATATCCTTCACAAAAAAAGGACTGGTGGAGTGGCTCAAAGTGTAGGTCCTGAGTTTAAGCCCTAGTACCTTCCCCCGCAAAAAACCTAAAATAAACATAAAGGAAGGAGAAATTACCTCATAGGTTGTAGTAACATTCTGCAGAACTTGAACTTGTCTAGAGGTTCTAGGGATAGCAGCTAGAACCTGGCCACTGAGGAGGGAAAACAGATTTTGGTTAAACAAAACATGAAAAATGCATACATTGTACCAGAAAGAGCTTCCAGGTGATTGTAAAAGGAAACAAAAGTTAAAATGTTAGGGCTGGGTGTGATTGGGCACACCAGTAATCCCAACTACTCAGGAGGTGAAGGTATGAGGACTGTGGTCTAAGGCCAACCACAGTCAAAAGCACAAGACCCTATCTGAAAAATAAACTAAAGCAAAAAAAAAAAAAAACTGGGAGTGTGATTCAGTGAGCACTTGTCTAGCAGGCTCAAGGCCTTGAGTTCAAACCTCAGTACTGCCAAAAAAAAAAAAAAAGACTAAGTATATATAAAAAAGAACATAGTCTCTCATTCTTTCTGCTCCTAATCAATTGCAAAATCAACAGCTTCGAGTGGGGGTCAGTTTATAGATATGTGCTTTCCGTGTGTGTACATGTGTGTGTGTGTGTGTGTGTGTGTGCGCGTGTGTGTTAGAAAAAAACACAAAAAACAACAAATTTGTTTTTATTACTGCATGGAAGTGAAGAAAGGGGATCTCTTGTATACTGTCAGTAGGAACATAAATTAATAGAACCACTATGCAAGTAGTATGGAGTTTTCTCAAAAATCAAAAGCAGAGTTAGTAAATGATCCAGCAATCCTATTACTGAGCATACACACAAAGGAAATGAAATCAGTATGTCTAAGAGATAACTTTCTTATCGCAGCATTATTCACTATAGCCATGGAATCAATCTAAGTGTCCTTCAATGGATGAATGGGTAAAGAAAATGTGATATAGATGCATAGTGGAATACCATTCAACCGTTAAAAATCCTATCATTTGTGGTGGCATGGACATTATGATAAGTGAAATAAGCCAGACACAGAAAAACAGTAACACATGGTCTCATTCATGTGTAGAAGCCAAAGAAACTGATCTCATGGAAGAAGAGAAAAAGAGAGGTTCTCAGAACTGGGAAGGTAAGAGGGAGGGTTAAGGAGGGACTGGTCAACGGGGACAAAGTTACAATTAGATCAATGAAATTAATTCTGGTGTTTATTGCACAGCAGGATGATAATGGTTAACAGTATTACATTGAATATTTCAAGATACCTAGAAGAGAGAATTTTGAATATCTTCATCACAAAGAAAGGATAAATGTATGAGGTGATATATATTTAAATACCCTGATTTGAATATTTTGCAGTATATACATGTATCAAAACATCACAACTGCATTCCATAAACATGTATAATTGTATGAGTCAATTAATAACTAAGTAAAATTCAATATTTGATACATCAGAGAATATAGTTTATTACATTATGAAATGATGTATTTTCAGCAGTGGGAAAGATTTCCCGTTGTTCCTCTCCTTACCCACACTTGAAGCTATCATTTAACTTTTCCAATCAAATAATTGTAGAATGAAATAGTCTCATGATTTTAATTTTAATTTTCTGACTTACTAATGAAGTACATTTTTTCCATTCAATTATTGACATGTACATTTTCATTTATGTGTTATATTTTGTCAGGGCATTTAACCATTTTTCTATTAATTTGTTTGTATTTTAGTAATAATTGACAAAGGATAATTTCTTTCTATATTCTAGACACTAATCCTTGTCAGTTATGCATACTCCAGTTACCTTATATGTGATTTTTATTTTGGCTTTTCTCTTTTTTCCTTCCTTCCTTCCTTCCTGGTGGTGGGATTGAATCCAGGACCTTGTACTTGCCAGGCAAGTGCTCTCCCACTGAGCTACATTCCCAGGCCTCTCTTTCTTTAGGATATATTTTTATTCCATCATTTTTTTCTAGGTTTGTGCTGCTTAAGAGCTCTTTCCAAATCCCTGGGATATAATAATATTTTCATATTACTTCTTTTGTCTTTCTAATTTGAGCTTTTAAACCACTGAAAATTATTTGCAGTGTAAAGAAGGGATTGGCTTTCATTGTTTCCTTTGTAACACCATTTATTAATTGCTGATACTTTCACTATAAATCTGCTATATCATCAATGTTGTCATGTATTAAGTTTCCATCCATTTGGCAGAGACAATGCTGGTTCAACACACCGTTTCCTTTTCCTGGGCCCACAGAATAACTCCCAGTTTTCTGTTGAGACCCAGATCCCATGTTCCAGCCAATGGCCAAAGTGAGTGGGAGTGGTAGGAGACAGTTAGGAGCAGGGGTTTCTCCATATGCCTGTACCCTTTCTCCTCCTGGGCCTGGAACAAAAAGTTACATAATGGAAGCAGCCAGATTACAACATTGACAGTACCAGGGAGTCTGTGATCTTCATTGATTGGTTATGTGAGTGAGAAATTGAAGGTTTGTGTCCCTCCCAAATTCATATCTTGAGACATAATCCCCAAGGTGATAGTATTAGGAGGTGAGCAATTTGGGAGGTGATGAGATCATGAAGCCAGAGCCCTTGTAAGCGGGGTTAGTGCCCTTATAGGAGAGACCAGAGAGAAACCTCATCCACTTCTACCCACTAAGGAGGTAAAAAGGCATTGGCTGTGTGGAAACAGGCCCTGCCTAGATACCAAATCTGCTGGTACCTTGATCTTGGACTTCCCAGCCTCTAGAACACGGAGAAAAAAGTTTCTGTTGTTTATAAGCTACCCATAACAAAAGCCACTTTTGTTAGAGCAACACAAATGAACTAAGACAAAATTCATCCTGTATTAATTAAAGCTATTTCAGGATTTACTAGCTATTGTAGCACAATTAAGGATCACCCTCACTAATAAAGATGTGGGCTATTCTGTTCAACTGTTTTTATTTTTATTAGCTATTTAGTTTTTAATCTACCTATTCTTGAGCCAAAACCACTCATTTAGTGGTTGTAGCTTCATTTTAAATCTTAGTATCTTACAGAACAAGCTCCCACTCCCCCTTTTCCCTGCCCAGTAATTTTTCAAGAGCCTCTTGGCTTAATCTTTTGCTTTTTCATGTAAATCAAAAAAATTCAACCTATCATGTTCCATGCAAAAATGTGAATCTTTATTATAATTATATTGAATTTATAGATTAATAATTTGGGGAGAAATGTTATGACTATAAATCTCCTCATCAGCAATTACAGATGATTTGCCTATTTATTTAGGCTTTTCTTTAAAAGTTAAACAATTTTATCCACAAAATGTTGCATATTTTAAATTTTTGTTTGTTCAATAGTGCTACCATTTCCTTCATAAGTGACTATTTATATTCCATCTCTCAGCCCTTTGTTCCATGATGTAGAAATGAAACTGACTTTCAGATACTGATTTTCTAACCACCTCCCTTGCTAATTTCGATAATGGTTAACATAGATATTTTGAAGATTTTTTCCTTGCATAACCTTATTGGTTGGGACTCCAATACAATGCTGAATAGAAGTGAAGACAAAATGCATTACTCATAATTTTTAAGAAAAACCTTCTAATGTTTGTCTGTAAAAATGCTTGTAGATTTTTTTTGACAGATAATTTTTATTAGCTTAAGGAAACTCCTTCCAGTTTTTGCTAAGATTTTTCCTGAATAGGTATGGATTTTTTATGCTTTTATAAGATGAGCATATGGGTTCTCTGTTCTAATCGCTTCGTTTGGTGAATTACATTAATAGATCAGTTTAAAGGCTGGCACCTGATTTAATTTGTTTGCTCATATTTGCTTTGTGTATTTCTTTCTGCCTGTGACTCTTGCTAGGGCTGCAAGAATTCTTACTGATTCTTGCACAGTCCAGGCATAGATTAGTGTCTCTACATGGATTTACTTTATTTTTATATACCATTTAGTCAGAAAGGAAAGAAGTACCTAGTAGATTTTCTCCTGTCAGCAGCTCTCCACCCAATTGTGCAGGTAAAAGATAACTAGATAAAGAAAGAAAACTGTAGGGTAAGAGAATGAAATAGAATTTTTAGGTTTTCAGTATACTTCTAAGTAACCTCACGAGAACTATGCTATTTAAATGAAAATTAAGCTATATTAGTGGCATTTGCCAGAAGGGTGCCCCCCCTTTTTTAACTGAACAAGTTTTTTCTTTTATTTTCATGCAAATACTGTCCTTGAAATATTCTGATTAAAAATTGTTTTTAATCAGAAAAAAATATTTCCCTCTTATTTTATGGAAAAAAATCTTGAGCTTTGTTTCCAATAAATAAGAACCAGGTGCTGGTGGCACATGCCTCTAATCCTAGCTACCTGGGAGGCTGAGATCCAGAGGCCAGCCCAGGAAAATTGGTTCATGAGACTCCATTTCCAAAGTAACCAGAGCAAAATGGACTGGAAGTGTGACTCAAGTGGTAGAGCTCTTGCTCTGCAAGCGTGAAGCTCTGAGTTCAAACCCCAATTCCTCCCCAAAAAATGGAGAAATAAGGACCACAGATGTACCCTCTTCCCTGAAATAACTAAAACTGGACAAAATGGATAGAACAATAAAACTCAAGACAATGGGCAAAGCAACATGATGCCTAAATGCAACATGGTACCTGAGATGGGAGCCTGGACCAGAAAAAGGACATTCATGGAAAAACTGATGAAATCCAAGTAAAGTCTGGCATTTAGTCAATTGTAATGGGCCAATGTTGGTTTCTAGTTTTGACAAATGTATCACAGTAAGGTAGTATGACAACATTTAGAAAAACTGGGTGAGGGATATACAGAAACACTTCACATTACCTTTGCAAATTTTCTGTAAATATAAAACTATTTTGAAAAACATTATTCAAAAAATGTACAAAGAGTTATGGAAACACAGAATAGGTTGTAATAACTTTTGTTTGTCATTATTAGCAAAGGCTTCATAGAAGTGACAACTGGGTAAATGAGCATGTCTAAGGCACAATGGCAGGAGACCAAAGGATGCTGCTGGAAAATGGCAGCCTGTATGTTGTTGCCAAGTGTAAGATACAAGTGTTTAGGGAAAGAGAAGAATGGTGGATAAACAGAAATGAATTTGGAAAGTTACATTAGTCCTCCCCCAGGGAAGGGGTGGAATTTGGACTCCC